TCTCCACCTCAGGACTCACTGGGTTGGAAAGAATCTGGATAGATTATCCATGTCATGGGCTAAGGGCAGGGTTTAGTCAAGATGACCAGGTGAATACTTAAACAGAAAGGCTGGATGGGGCAGGAATGTGTGCCCTGATCTTGGGGTCAACAGCTTCATCATTGGCTGTGTACTTGCATAGTCACTTGAGTCTTAGTTCTTCATTTGTAAAAATGAAAATAGGGATAATAATTATAAATTCTACCATCATGGACTACTGCAAGATGCAAAGAGATTATGTGCACTCTCTAACACACAACGTGTATTGTGTATTAAATAGACATATATATGTACATATACAGACATATATTGTAATTACAATGTGGAAAATCTTCCAGTCCCTCTTAGCAACCTAATCCAAAGACAACTACACCTTGTAGGCAAAAGTTTTCTTTATGTCTCATTGAAACTCTTTACTCTAAAATTTGAGTTCTCTCTCTTTCTCTCCCTCTCTCCCCATTTTTGCCTATTTAAATATATCTAAAAACTTCCAATTATGGTACTACCCTCTTAACCACAGGGCATACATTCTAAAAGCCCCAGTGAATGCCTGAAACCTTGGATAGTACCAACCTGTATGTATAATACTATGTTTTTTCCTATACATACGTACCTATGGCAAAGTTCAATTTATAAATTAGGCACAGTAAGAGAATATCTGAATTGCCAGTATCACTACTCTTGTGCTTTGGGGCCATTATAAGTAAGATAAGGGTACCTGGAACACAAGAACTGGGATATCCCAACAGTCGATCTGATAACAGAGATGGCCACTATGGGATGAATAGGTGGGTAGCACATACAACCTGGGCACGCCAGAAGGAGTGATGATTCATATACTGGGTGGGATGGAGCTAGTCGGTGTAAGATTTCATTACACTACTCAGAACAGTGCACAATTTAAAACTTATGAATTGTTTATTTCTGGAATTTTCCATTTAATTTTTTCAGACCATGATTGACTGTGGGGAACTGAAACCACGGAAAGGGAAACTGTGGATAAGAGGGGACAATTGGACAAATGTGACTAAAATCTCCAGTGTCCAGTCCTTTTTCGTAGCATCTAGCTAAGATCTAGTGTTAAGACAACTTATTTGATTGCCTTCATTCTTTCCTAGGAAACATCCAAAGGTGCTGATTTCCTCCATTGTTCCTGTGTAATGAAGGTAGTAAAAATCACAAAAAGAGGAAATGCAGCACTTTCTTCTCATTGGAAATGAAGCTCATCCAAGGAGAATGGTCATGTTGAAAGAGAGTGTGGCATGGTGGACTCTAACCTTTCTAGTTATGCATATGTTACACCTCCAGTTTTTGAAAATCCACCCACTGTATTACAGTTATTGATTATTATGTTGAAGAATCATTTATTGGAGATTCATCTGATCAACCTTCATGTAAATCCAAATTGCAAGTAAATACGAGCATTTTATGTTTTTCTGATTTCTTGTTAGTTGTTTTAAAATGTTTGTAATGTGTCAATCAGCGTTAATTGCCAGTGTCATTATGGACAATTTTGGCTAGATAATTCTCTGTTGTGTGTTCTGTCCTGTGCATTCTAGGAAGCTCTGCAGCTTCCCTAGCCTCCATACACCAGATGCTTGTGGTCCAGACAATCAAAGCAGTCTCCAGACATTGTTAAACTTCTCTTGGGAGGCAAAGTCATCCCCTATTAAAAACTACTAGTCTAAAGGAATATATTAGTAGTAGAACTTGTGTCAAATATGTCACTTTCAATGTGAAGTTTCTTTGCAGGGATATTTGAAAGCTTTCGTAAATTTTGAGACCGTGAAATGATTGAAGTGAGATAGTATAATCAGTAGATACACTTAAACTGTAATATTCAACCATGTGCTATAAACAAATAAGTTAGGGCACCACTGTCAATCCCTTCTGACTGTGGGGCTCCCAACCTTACCTCAGGGTGAGAGTTATGTGTATGTGGGTATCAGACATAACCCATCAAAGAATAAGGAGAGTGGGGTACTTATACATCAACCCTTCCATGCATTATTTAAAGGGCTTCTTCTGGGTTACAGGGAGGGTGTTAATTCTTAGCACTTCTGGATTGTTATGCAGTGGGGCTGGGGAAGGAGGGAGCTCTGGTCACTAACTCATAGGGATGCAATTTCAGCCAGCTTTTCCTAAAATGGTACAGATGATGGGAATATGGACAGAGTGTCAACAGTGTCTGCTGAATCCTACCCAGGGGCTGAAGTCATTGGATGAGAAAAGGGTTGAAGATGTATATGAACCAAGTGATAAGTGAAGGACTAAGAGAAATGGTGGAAGACTAAAAATCATAGATGGAAGAATTCCCCGGGAACAGGATGACACCTCATCTTCTGAGTCTGGAAGGAAGATGGAGAGGATGGCTGCAAATGTAGATTGGTTTATGAGTTTGATGACAGGAAGGCATGGGATTAACATTTGCTGTCTTTGTTTTCTTGGTAACCTCTGAGAGAATGTCTTCCCTAAAAGTGACATTCTCTAGGACGTTAGGAAATCAAGGTTTGTAATGGCTCCAAAGGGAACAAGTTAAAGAAATATGAGAAGCACTTAAGAGCTTAGCTGAGACCAAAGTCAAAAAATTTGTTGTGGTAGCAATTCTACAAGCTGGTGGATCATCTCCAACAGTAGACATAGTACAGGGGTAGAAAATGCAAATTGTAGGATTCATATATTTATTGAATAAATGCTTTTTGAGTGCCTAATATGTGTCAGGAACTAAGTGATGAAGATAAAATGGTCAACAGACAAATTATACACAGACACAATTCTATGATTTTGTAGAGCTTTCTGGAGAGGAAATACAGAAAATAAATAAGACTGATGAATATAATGTTAATATATCAGTAATAGGCACAGAGAATGGGGATAGAGTGAGCTGGGACTGGAGATGTGGTGTCATTTTAGGTAGGAAATGTAGGCAAGGTCTCTCTGAGAAGGTGTCACTTGAAAAAGGGCTTGAAAGAGATGAGAGATTGAGCCATGTGTATATCAGGGAAGCATGGTTCAGGCGGAAGGAACAGCAAGTGCAAGGGTCCTAAGATAGGAGTGTGCCTGGCATGGTGAGGAAGGGCAAGGTTATTGTGATGACCAGACCAATAAGATTGAGGGGTAAAATGGTTTAAATTGAGGCCAGAGAGATACCAGGTTTGGAGGTCCACCTCATACAGAGTCTTGTAACCTATGGCTTTTAGGTTGATTCAATGCTGGGTGTTTTGAGGAAAGATGATATGTGAGGACCAGGGAGGGAAAGGATTGAGGACATTGATGAGAACACTTTAAATGACCACAGAGAAGAGAAGGAAGTGAGTCCAAGAGTAAGCAGATAAATCGGGAGCTTTATGAAAAATGTGACGTGAAGCAGGAGAGCATGAAAGCATCGGATTTAAAGGAGGAAAGAGTTTTTAGTTGGAGAGTGTACTTTTGGATGATAACTGACATCTATTGAGCATGGATGATGTGCTAAGTACTTTATGTATTATCTCATCTAAGCTTCCCACCTACCTGATGCGATAATAAATATTGTTAGCTACATGTTTCAGATGATGAAATTGAAGTATAAAGAGACTAAGCCACTTTCTCAAAGACGTGCTGCTGGCCAGTGGTGGAACTAGGATTTGAACTTCATTAGTCTAACTCTTTGGCTCCTGTTCTTGACTAGTTCACTACACAGGGTTAAATGCTGCAAAGGGTTCAGGTGTGATCAAGATGGACACGGGTCAATGGGAATCGATGGTAGCGATGGTCGGTGGGACTGGAGACAGTATTTTGCAGTAGTTTAGTGACTCAGCTGGTGGCAAGGAAGTGGAGCCAGCAGTTTGGGGATTGGAGAGACAGTGGGATTATGGAAATTGACACCATGATGATGTAAAAGTAAAACGACAAAAGATAAAGAGACCTGCACTGGTTTATAGCCTGAGAGGAAGGTGCCAGAAGAAAGGGAAACAATGAAACTAGAAGTGTGAGTCAAATAATTTACAGAGCAAAGTCGGGGAACAAGTTCGAATGGTTGGCAATATGGATTAACCTTGGAGAGGAAGGCACTCATTTTATAGGAAAATAACTGAGGACCAGAGAAGAAAATTGTGAGCCCAAGATCATAAAGCCAATTCAGCAGTAAGCTCAGGGACAAGAGTCCAGGTTTTCTGATCATCAAGAGAAGTCCTTTCCTCTAGGCAACCTGGCCACTCTTGCTGAATCTTCGTCTGCTGGTTATTTATCCACAACCCAAAGGGAGTTATTATAGTTAATGAATAAATACGGTATAGCAAACTGCACAGCTTTACAGAAACACGAAAGACATCTTGACATTTGAGTTTCCTTCACAACTGCCCCCTACCCGCACCCCCCGCCCAAGCTCTTTAGCACACAGGATTGACTTTTCTTGACTATAAGCTGCTTTTCAGATACTGCAGATTCCTGCATTGATGTCAAGTAGAGATTCAGGTAGAGAAAACTAAAGTCACCATCAGGGAATTTCTAGCTGAATTAGGCTCCACTAAGCCTTGAAATCAAAATGCTTCTGGTAGGTGACTGGGGTACACATGGAAAAATCAAGCCAGTGTGTGACTGGGCATGTGTTATTGTTATGACAGATCCTAGCAGACAACCTCAGGAGAGACTGGATTTTAGTTGCAGTGCAAGTAGGTGATGAAAAATTGTTTTTGACTTTTGAATTCCCTACACTTTGCCAGTAGTTATTACAGCCATAATTTGGGCCATGTGTATTCCAGAGAGGTTTTTGATTTAAGAATCTAGATTATTTTGGAAGCAAGCAATATTCAATATATCATCTATACCTAAGAGTTTTAGGTATTTATTTTCATGGCGATGGACATTTTTTCTCATTATATTAAATATAAAATTTAAACGTTGGAGGAATGACAATGGTCTATTTCTAACACTTACCTTATCTTGAGCAAACATTGAAATTCTTGATTAATGTTTAACTACAAGAAATACACTCAGTTCAAGTAAAGGATCAGTTTCAGGATTCAGGCTGAGTTGTCTTGATGATTAGAATTCAGGCTCTAAGGAGAAGCCCCAAGGCCAAGGGTATTGAATATAATAGCAAGTGGGAGCCACACCTGACCTCTGGAGAATGTGGACTGGATATAAGATTTTAATTCTTTCTTATCTCACCACAGAAATTTGGATGGAGAGACAGTATTTATCTCAAAGAGAAGTGGACCGAGGAGCTAATTTCACTAGGAATCACACCATTTTGGAAGGTACTCGATTCAAAAGAGCCATTTTCAAAGGGCAATACTGTAGAAGTTTTGGTTGTTGTGAAGACAGAGATGATGCCTGTGTGACTCAGTTCTATGAGACAAATGCACTGTGTTACTGTGATAAATTCTGTGAAAGGGAGAATTCTGATTGCTGTCCTGATTACAAGTCATTTTGCCGTGAAAAGAAGGAATGGCCTCCTCACACAAAGCCTTGGTATCCAGAAGGTAGGCTTTGGGAATGTGTTCAAGCATTATTCTGGTTCATAACAAGATCTGTCCAACTTTCTTTTTCTTTCTCTTTCTCTTTCTTCCCTCCCTCCCTCCCTCCCTCCCTCCCTTCCTTCCTCCCTTCCTTTTTTAAGTTGAAATGAAAAATGAATATTTCGATCACCAGAATAAATTTCTCAGGATTGCTAACGTGCTTTGGTTTAGATGCTGGGTACACACATCAGACTAGAGCCTTCAGGAAAGTTCTGCTGTGACAGCCACGAAGGCTGGTCTAGATTCTGTTCTGAATACTCACTCAACTTATATGAAAGTTACTTAAAATTCTTTATTTCTTTTTTTTGCAAAATGTATTGACAAGAAAAATGTCGCTCACGCTTTTTTGAGTGTAACCTCTTAGATTCACAAGCCTGATCCTCTGCAGATTTATGTAACAGTTTACTTACTATTTCATGAGACTATTGGACCTCGTAGCATTAGAACCTATGTTATAGCAATGTCATTTAAACCAGCGCAAAGGCAAAATAAAGTTGGCCAACCTCTCTGCCTAAGTAATACCAAATACAGTCACGATGTGTGTTTTTGTTTTGTTTCATTTTGCCAATCTGGGGTTTTAAACTATTAAAAACAAAAGAGTGCTCCATATAAGGTAGTTTTAAAAGTCTAAGACTGAGCAAATAAATACTAATAATTCATAAGGAGAATGGTGGTATTTCCTGTATTGATCTAATTATTGTAAAATGGCTATAGAATCTGAGCAATCGATATATCCAAAATTTGCCAAAAGCACAAAATAAAATTCTATTGCTCCACTTATACAGGCAGAAGTGCAGGTTTCCTCGGAGCTATGTCACATGACTTTAAATGGGTGATGGTGAGTGGGGATTACAACTAGAAGACAATGTAGGATAAGCTAGGATTTGGTATCCTTCCAGCAAGATCCAGATGCTGACTGTTGCCTTCATTCTCAGTAATGTCATCTTGTTTGTAAAATTGAGGAAGTACTCCTTAAAACGCACATGTATTATAAGCTTTTAGGTATAGGATGGATAAACAAGGTCCTACTGTATAGTACAGGGAATTATATTCAATGTTCTGTGATAAACCATATGGAAAAGAATATGAAGAAGAATATATATATGTATAACTGAATCACTTTGCTGTACAGCAGAAATTAACACAACATTGTAAATCAACTAATTTCAATAAAAAAAAATAATGCCAGGCCTTTGTCTTTACCAGTAAACAGTTCAGCAAACATTTATTTCACCCTAAAAAGTGGCAGAAAGTCTCTTAGAAATGGCAGACCTAGCCATTCATCAAAAAAATATTCATTGACTACCTCCACCAGGCCAGTCATTGTGCTTTTGCTGGGGGCAACCATGGGGAAGAAAAAAGACAAGACATTAACCTCATGGAAGTGACAGTCAAGTTATATGTGGGGGTTATAAGATATTTAACAAATTCACTGTACAATTGCAAATTGTGTTAAATTCTCCGAAGGAAACGCTTAGGGTGCGGTGAGAAAGTATGCCAGAATATAACATTAACATGTAAAATAATGCATAACATTAGCTTGGGTGGGAGACTTGAGGAGTGAGGAGTGAGGTGACCTGAAGAAGGGCCAACAGAAAGGGATCTGGGAGCCAGGAGCTTGGTGTTGCCTAGGAATTGGATGGAGGCCACCACTTCCGGAGAGTCATGATCAGTGGAGGGTTGGGGGTGACATAAGATGAGGTTTGAGAGGTGAGTAGAGGTCAGATTTTGCCAGGATTTATAGGCCACATCAAGAGTTTAGGATTTTATCCTGTTATGAGAACTCATTGAGAGATGTTAAGTACGAATAGGGTCAGCTTCCTGGAAGTTGAGGATAAGTATTATGGATCAGCTGTGGTGCTTTTGATGTGATAAAACGTATTTGAGCTTTTCTTATTTGAATCATGTAACCCATTTGGAAAAGAAATTGCTGCTTCTTCAATGTCCATTTTTGCTTGAAAGCTAGGATTTTGCTAAGACTTTAATTTAGGGTCATGTTTTAGGTAGAACTTATGTTCCCAGCATAGTTTTTATTCCATTCATGATGGAGGGAAGCAATTCATCAGTTTATTTAGTAGCAAATGTTCACAGTAAACTATATTTGCACTCATGAAGGTGATTTTTTTCTTTTGTTTTACCTTCCTTATGAAAGTAGCTGGTTAAAAGAAAATAGCACTACACAATATTTAAAAATTGTACAAAATTAACTAAAATAAATAGAAAATGATATACTATTTATACTATTTTTTTTGCCATATAAAGAGACTTTCCTCTGAGATGCTAGTAAAGCATCACTGACTTGTTAAATATTTTTCAGTTATTCACTGATTTATTAAATATTTTTCAGTTATCTACTTACATGGTATTGTCTAGTTCATTCACTAATTTATTAAATATTTTTCAAGTATCTAGTTACATGTTATTGTCTAGTCTCTTATACTGCATTTCTTTTTCAACCTGGGACTTAAAACTATGTATATTATCTTAAGGTTTAAAAATATGTCAACAAATAAATAAATAGATATGTACCTTTTGTGTAAATTGGTTTGGACATGTGAGTAAACATCTTCCTTCTGGGTTTTGTCCCATCTCTGCTGGTTACTTCCAGTCATTGGAGGATTTCAAATGTCAGATACAGAAAACAAGTGATAGAGTTTGAGACAGAACCAGAGTGGTTTTTCCAGACAGAATCTCTTGGTGTGGCAGATCTTAAGAAAAGAGTCTAGTGGACCATGTGCTGTGAACAGACCTAAGCTAATTTGATTACACACAACTCTTATGTTCACATTGGTAAAAAATGGATGTAAACCACTGACACATTTGAATTGAATGAGGATTATTTATCCCTTCATGACCTCCTTAACCACATGACAATGAAGATAAATCACAGCCCAAATTCTGCCGTGCATACTGTTGCAAACATATATACTGGTAAGGAGATATACACTAATCCATAAACCTCTGTAAGCTCCATGAAGTCTCAGGTCCCCATCCTGTTAGATGTTCCCACATCTACCTTGCTTGAAAAATTTACTGGAGTTTTCCCATGTGATAATATTACAGAGGGTGTCAGGTTATGATAAATCCTCCTACCCAGTGGCTGGACACAGGACCTTGTAAAGATCAATCCTAGGGCACCAGGTCTAAGAGTGAAGGCTTTTGACCTTAAGAGATACATAAAAACTGTGGAGTATGAGAGTGGGATGTGATTTTTAAGTGTTTTAGCTAATCTAATCTACATCAACTTATTGCTGTTAATTTAACCGATAAGAGCTGATTACTTATACCCATTATGCTGATTAATAAGCCACTAATTTTGCCAGTGAAAGCCCCTTTCTGATACTCATTATACTGCTACTCTAGTGTCCATTAAAAGATGGATAATGGAACCCCTTGTAGCAGCTTACCTGGAGTCTGGCCTTTCAGGATCAGTGCTACCGACCGCCCCTGGGATGCTGACTCCTGATTAGAGCAGGCAACTCCCTTCCCTGAAGTGACATTGAGATCAGCACATTTATTAGAACACTTTATGATGAAGTTATTTTAAAATAAGTTACATCATATTGTCATCTTTTCTCAAATCAAGAGATGGATTTCACTTTCCAAATACCTGATTTGCCTCATTTTTGTATTAATGGCTGTTAAAGGTGCAAAACTCCTTTAATTTCAACAACCATTACTATCATCTATCTATCACCTATCTATCTATCTATCTATCGATCTATCTATCTATCGATCTATCTATCTATCTATCATGTCAAGGTGTAATCGGTTTGATTAACTCACTCTGAAGTGCTTTATACATTTTTCCTTGAGGAAATAAAGCCACCAGGAATTTTCTCATCTCTCCATCATCATAATTTTCAAAGCACCCCCATATTGGTTACTGTTTCCACGGAGTAGATTCCTCCTCTTGAGCTCTAAATCCCACTGTCTCTTTTGTGTGTGTGTGTGTGTGTGTGTGTGTGTGTGTGTGTGTGAATATATCATTTATTCAAATGATGTATGGGCACTGTATTAGTTTCCTATTGCTATGACAAATTATCGCAACACAAAATAATTATTTTACAGTTCTGGAAGCTGGAAGTTTGAAATGGGTCTCACTGGAAGAAAGTCAAGCTGTCAGCAGGGCTGCATTCCTTCTGGAGGGTCTAGGGGAGAATCCCTCTTCTTGCCTTTTCCAGTTTCTAGAGGCTGTCTGAATTTCTTGGCTCATGTCTCCTTCCTCACTCTTTTTTTTTTTTTAACATCTTTATTGGAGTATAATTGCTTTACAATGGTGTATTAGTTTCTGCTTTATAACAAAGTGAATCAGTTATACATATACATATGTTCTCATATCTCTTCCCTCTTGCGTCTCCCTCCTTCCCACCCTCCCTATCCCACCCCTCCAGGTGGTCACAAAGCATCGAGCTGATCTCCCTGTGCTATGCAGCTGCTTCCCACTAGCTATCTATTTTATGTTTGGTAGTGTATATATGTCCATGCCACTCTCTCACTTTGTCACAGCTTACCCTTCCCCCTCCCCATATCCTCAAGTCCATTCTCTAGTAGGTCTGTGTCTTTGTTCCCACTGTCTCTTATCTTTTCAAAATCTCCACCCTTACAATTGTCCCTCCCTCCCTCCCTCCCTCTCTCTCCTCTTCTCTCCTCTCTCCTCTCCCTCTTTCTCTCCTAAAGCATCGTTTCTCCCTTTGTCTCCTGGATCAATCAATTTACAAAACTATTGATTTACAAAAATGTTTTTTTTTAACTCCCCCAATTTTTCTGCTACCTTTAAATGCCAATCATGTTCTCAAATTAGCATTTTAAAAGAAATACTTTTCATTCAAAACTAGTAGAATCCAAAAGAGGATTCAGGCATTGCTTGGGAGATGGTGCTAGACAGCATCAAAGGTTAATTTCTAACCCTGACTCTGTTTCCATGATGAGGTGGTACCTAACATGGGAACCAAAGTTACAGTCTATGCATTAGGGTGACACAGAATAACTCATTCATTCAACTGCTGGTGAATATAAATTGGTAAAATCATTCTGAAAAGAAAAAAAATGACGATATGAATTAAATGCCTTAAAGATGTCCAAACATCAATTTGGACCCAGAATTTCCACTTCTAGGGACTTTCCTCAAGGAAATAACTAAGAAAGTGAGCAAACATCATTTACAAGATATTCTCTTGCAGGAGGTTAGTAGGTAGTTGTAACTCCCAACTTTGAAAAAGCCCTCCCTCAACTCCATGTCCTTAACCAACTATTATCCCATTTCCTTCTTTCCTTTAATGGCAAAAATATCTGAAGGAAACATTTCACTTCCTGATTCCAAGCCTCTCATCAGCTCATTCTTACAAGATCTTGTTTCCTGCTACTTTACTGAACTCTGTCTTGGCAGGGTTATTGAAGACTTCCATGTTTCCAAATGCAATATTAAGATGTCTGTTCTTTTCTTGATCCCTCAGTGGTACTCTGTGTAGGTGACCACTTTTGCTTGTTTGGAATACTTTCTTCTCTTACTTTTCAAGACTCTACCCTCAACTGAATTCCCTTCTTCCTCATAGGTCACTCCTTCCCTGTTTCTTCTTCTGAATGTCTGTTAGCTACAGAGTTTGAGCTCAGTCCTGGACGTCTTTCTCTTACCTACAAACCCTTTCTCAAGCAGCCTCTTATGTAGTCTCAAGGCTTTAAAGATATGTATGTTGCTGGCTCTCAAATTCATGCTCCAATCATGACTTAACTCTGAATTTCCACTGCTACTCTACTTGATATTCTCCATTAGGGTGGCTAACCTAGACTTAATCTAAATCTAAAATATGCAAAACAGAACTCTTGATTTCTTGCCATAAGCCTGTTCCTTATTTCAATATTAGCTTCATTGCCTCTCTATGGTTCAGGCCAAAATCCTACTGAGACATCCTTGATTCCTCTTTTTCCTCATTCTCCAAACTCAATCCAAGAGCTAGTCCCATTTTCTTTGCCTCCAAATTATGTTCATCCACTTCTCTCCATCCTCATCAGTATCATGGAAAGCCTTTAGCCAGCAGAACAGGAGTGATGAGGACAAAGATTATGGAAGAGAGATTTTGGATAAGGTCTTATAGGTCATTGTAAGAAGTTTGGTTTTATTTTAAATTTGATGGGGAATAACTTGAGGATTTTAAGCAAGGAGTGACACAATGTAGACTTTAAAAGATCTCTCTAAATGCTGTTCAGGGGATGAGGGATACACTGGAGTGGGGAAGAGTGGAGGAAGGGAGTGGACTGCGTTTCTGTATTGTGTAGAAGTTGATGCTTCACTTTGTTAGCACCTTGGCCAAACTCAGATGAACAGATTATGGTGTTTGTTCAAGAGGCCAACTCTCAAATGAGATTACAGCAAACGTTGTTTCTTATAGTCAACTCTGACTTGATATTAAGGAGGGAAGACCAAGAAATGGAACTTTTGCTAACACTAGACATAGTACTAATGATCTTGGGTGGGAACAGTGATAACATTCTCTTTAGTTCAAAATTAATAGCTGGGGGACAGGTTAGAGAAGGGACATCCTTTTTTTCATTAGGACCTTTGTGATTTCTCGTCCCTTTATCTATATAACTGGTGTGCTGGACAAGCAACATTCATCGGTTTTGATTAAAAACCAGGTTTGATAACATATATATGTATAACTGAATCACTTTGCTGTACAGCAGAAATTAACCCAACATTGTAAATCAACTATACTTCAGTATAAATTTTTAAAAATCAGCTTTGATTTTGCCCCTCATCTCCTTTAGAACTAGTCAAGGAAGTACTTCCCTTGACTTTGAATAAAACTTGAATTGTTGCATGAATTTTCTGTTGCTTTCCTAGGTAGTAAAAATTCCGGGGTCTTTGTAAGTTACAAACATAGAAATTCATTTACAAAAAGTGTTTAATCCTGGGTAGTAATTGAAACTCTGAACTTGATTTAAAGTTAAATCTTTCCCCTCCCCTGTGGTCCAGGAGAGAGGTGGTTTCCTTCTCTCTTCTTGTGAGAGTGGAATGTCAAAAATCCATGGAAAAGAGGTGGATAGATGCAAATACAAGGAGATTTTTAGATTCATTAAGCAAAAGATTGAACTGTGAGAACACAGTGCATGCTGAAGAGGGGCATTTGTAAAATATTTCCTGTGAAACAATTTTTGGAAAAATCGGAGGATAGCTAATTTGTAAGTGTCTTTTGTGACATTGTGGCTGGTGGTTAAGCCAGGTCCCTTGGAACGCTTTCTAAACATGTAGATTTCCTCCTATGATTGTATGAATAAAAAGTTAGAATTCATTTTATTTAACTGGGGGCCATTGTGATCTATCAGTGACATGTCTCCGTCAAAAAAGTTTTCACAAGACAAAGGAGCGAATTTTGCTACTTTTGCTAATTCAGCATGAATTTAAATTTGTGTAAGTTATATTTTCAAAAGGGATTTAATTTGTAGCCAGGGTATTATTTTCACCATATCTTACTGATTGGTTTCATATAATGATAATTCACCATTCATCTCTTTGGAGTAGTTTATAGAGTCTGGTAAAATAGCAACGAGTTTTGGTTAATGGCTGAGAAACATTTGGACTTGGAACACAAAGGACTACAACCGTATAAACTTTTCTCCTGATCTAAATTTTGAAGAAAAAGTAGAATTTATCTTTGTAAGGTGAATTCACTGAAATAGCTTTATATTTTGGTCCAACACTTTGAGCTCTTTCCTCTAAGCATATGTAATTAATCATATTTACATATGAGAGTTGATTAGATTTTTAAGATAAGAAATGCCATAAATTAATTCAAATACTGTTTTACTGCTTACTTACTCGAATACATTATTTTTTTGAGTGCGTTTAGTGATCAATACCTCAGTAATCTAGTTTTTATGCTTTACAAATCCTCTCAGTTGGAACAAATACACAATGTAAAGATAGAAGCTTATGGAACAAGCCCATAAGAATTCGATATACAAACCTTGACACAAACCCTATGTGGATTTCCTTCAGATGGGCACCAAATTTTTTTGCATATTTGAAAAAACTAAATACAATTTTAATTTACTTATTACTCAATTTAGAATTTTGATTTGTTTACATGGTATGTTGACAGGTTGCTACAGAGATGGTCAACGTTATGAAGAAGGATCAGTAATTAAAGAAAACTGCAATTCCTGGTAATGAATTTAAGTGGCACAGAACTGTCTGTGTATGTTTTCTTCAAAGGAACATTTGTGAAACAAAGCATATATTTAAATACAGATAGAATCATAAGTCATAAGATATCACATACCCATAGTTTTTATAATCATATTTAATTTTAATAAATGTTTAAAAGCTAATCATGAATATTTCTTTTAACATTTGAGTTTGGTGTTTGTGACAGTGGCCTGCTTTCACAAACCTCTTAATTTTAAACATTCTGATATACTACAGGAAAATCACGTGTTCTTGAACACAGTAACTATATATAAAAGAAAGCTGCCTTGAAATTGATTATCTTGCAAAAAATTTACAATTACAAATGTGTCCAATCTACTGTCTCCATTGTCTTATGTTTTCAAACTCCAATGACTGGGTGATCATTTCATTTATTAATTGCCTGAAGTGGAAGATACTGAGTGGTAGCTAATGCACGTGTTGTGATTTATTTTTGCCAAGAATTAAAGTCATATGGTTAACATTAGTCAAAAATATCTTTTATGCCTTAACAAGGTGCAACTCTTGTTACTAATTTTATAAGTATACTCCCTAAAGACGAGGCCACTTTCATAACTTTTGTATCTTTACAGCACATGCTCAGGACAGCAATGGAAATGTTCCCAGCATGTATGCCTTGTTCAACCAGGATTAATTGAACATGTCAATAAAGGAGACTATGGGTGAGAGAAATCTTGCTTTCTAGGCTTTTTGGCGCCTCCCCCACTCATTGCCCCTCAGGTTTCAAACAATGTATTTCCTATCATTTCCTTCTAAAAATGATCATTCTTTCAAAAACAAAAAAAAGAGTGGGTGAGAAATGGGGAGGGTGGTAGAACGGCATGTGAAATTGGAATGAACAGAGGTGAACATTAAATGATTAAAAATTAAAAGGCACAAAGAGGAAATATAGAGCATGGTCTTAAATTGTTTAGGAAGGAGCAGTGTCAAGGTGTGAGTGAGGCTGGTAGGGGGAGCTTTAGTTTAAATAAGTATTCAGGCAAAATCAGGAAGTAGGCAAACAGGTTCATTCATGTTCATCATCTTTCCTTCCGGTGCTGCCCTGACCCAGCCAATCATATGCTCATCTAACCTGGGTAGACTCCGACCTTCAGAAAGTAGTATTTTATCTCGATGATCCCCCAAACGACCAGTCCATCTAGACAGCGTCATCGACATGACTGATATCTAGCCAATTTCACTCACGGTTGAGTAAAAAGACTGGTTGAGCCATTTTACTTTGCTAATAAACAAAGCTTGAACTGATTGACAAAGGAAGTAACTGTTTGATGCTCTCTGATAGATTAATAAATTAAGTCACTTTTCCACTTACATAGAGGGAATTAGGTGTAGGTGCTGACACTGGCTTTCTTTACTGAACTGAAGGGAGAAGGGATGGGCCAGCTGTTTTCTGCTTCAGGATTTCTCCACTGTCACTGATCAAATTTCTATACACCCTCTAAAACATTTTCTACCTTCAGGAAAAGATTTCACGTGAGAAGACCTACTGTTAAGCAACTATAAAAGTGAAGTCGTACTGAAGTGCATTTTTAAAACATAGAAATATCACTTCTTGCTACACCTAAGACATATGTTTCCCAGGACAGTGGGGACACTAATTTTCGATGTACCCAGAGTATTTTCTTGGAAGACACAAAAGACACTTGGAAGTCACATTTGTTGATATTAATATTCTTAAACCATTCTCAACTCCTCTGTGTGTGTGTATGTGTTTTGACAATATTTTAGGTGATAATATGATGACATTTTAAGTATTTCTAGGGAAAAACAATTATTTTCTATGGCTAAGTGATATTTAAATCATTAAAAGGACATGAGAGTATGTGTCATCATGAGAGATTATCTGAATCAGGTTCCTAAAAGGATTCAAATGCTTGAGCTAACAAGCACACACTTCCAAGAAGCCAAGATAAGCAGCCAAGCTTTCCACTGTCACATAACCCAGGAGAAACCACAGTGTAAAGCAATGTGGCAAGAAAGTCATATTAAGAGTACAGATCTGTTGGGAATGCTGCCTTCCTTGGAAGGAAGAATTTTCTTTCCATCATTTGTTTATTCTGAGAGTACTCTAGGTCAATTTAAGAGGCACAGGATTTGCCTTTTAGTAGCAAACATAGATGACTTGAAAAAAAAAAAGGTGAAGTAAAATTGCAGCAAAAGAAAATATACTCAGATCAAAGAAAAAAGTTACGTAAAAGAGACAAAGTATGAAGAAAAGGAGTAAAACTAAAATTATTTACCAGGGAACAACAGGAGGGAGTGTAGAAAGTCCTTGAATTTAAAAGAAAGTTCTAGGGCTTCCCTGGTGGCACAGTGGTTGAGAGTCTGCCTGCCGATGCAGAGGACACGGGTTCGTGCCCCGGTCCGGGAGGATCCCACATGCCGCTGAGCGGCTGGGCCCATGAGCCATGGCCACTGAGCCTGTGCGTCCGGAGCCTGTGCTCCGCAACGGGGAGAGGCCACACAGTGAGAGGCCCGCGTAACGCAAAAAAAAAAAAGAAAGTTCTAATTCTCAGATATTTACTGTTCCTGATGTTTAAGTTGTTTTCATGTATGAAAACAGAGTCATATTATAGCATTCAATGTCTATTTTAAGCGCTTTTTAAAATAGCCTATGTACAAATATACACAGCCTTTGCTTTAAAACATTTATTTCTGGCATCTTGGTAGTATTTAGATCCAAATCTTTATTCATTCTGCATAGCCCACTTCAGTGCTTATTTATTCCCTGTATTATGTTGTAATGCAATTAATATTAACAAAACATGTGTTTCCCTTTTGGCACTACTGAGGATACAAATAAATAATTTCTTAGAGGAATTTACAATCTAGCTGAGGAATCCACATATCATAACTTTGTAAAAGGATTTCTAGTGATAGGGCAGTTATAAGTGGCAAATTAGTAGCACAAATAATAATCAGCAAGTTAGTGGAACAAAGGGAGAGAGAGAACAGTCTCAGTCTATCTGATGCTGTGAAACAAACCACTTCAGAATTTAGCGCCCTGAAAGCACGAGCTTTTTATTTGTTCATACCGGCAATTTGGGATGGACTTAGCTGAGGCTTTTTTCCTGGTCTCTCCTGGGGTTACTCATGTGTCCACAGACATCTAGGGCCTCAGCTGGGGCTGCATTGTCCAGGTGGCCCCCTGCCCATGTCTGGTGGTTGGTGCTGGTTGTTGGGGGCCCCATGTGTCTGCAGCAGGACAGCCTTGGTTTCTTCACATAATGACAGTGTTCAAGCAGGACATGAGGGGAGGATGGAAATGGCTCAGGAGGCCAAAGCTTGAAATTTGCACATTGTCAATTTCACTGCATTCTACTGGACAAAGCAAGTTACCAGGCCAGCTCACATTCAAGGGTTGGAAAAATGGACTCCATCTCTTGATGGAAAGAGCTACAAAGAATTTGTACCCATTTTTAATCCATCCTATCTCTAACCCTGATTTTTCTTATGAACTCAAAGTCTATAGACTATCTATTGAATAAGTTGACTCTGATTTCTTACTGATTTCTCAAAGTCAAAAATACCCCAAACCAAAAGGACTAACCTTTTGACTTGTCCTTGGTTACTGGCATCACCCGCTACCATGTCAACGAAGCCAGAAAATCTGAAGTTAGTTTGAGGCTTCTTTCCTCTTCACTCTCAGTCACTAGACTCTTGTAATCCCCACAAAGTTTACTTTAGAAATTTATTTCCTTTATTCTTATGCTATATTCTAGTGCATTTCTTTATCAAGCCTAGTTTGAAATGACCTGACTTTACTCTCTGTTTCCAGTCTGACCAAATTCCAACCAATCCTTTATACTTTCATGGTTATCCTTCTGAAACAAAGCTTTGATTCTGCCACTCAGGTTCTTAAAAAGTCTTCAATGACACTCCATTGCTTTAGAATATAATTTTACTCCTCAGCATAAATAACAATCTGTCCCAAATGCTTTACTGCCTCATCTTTTACACTCTTTCCAGCCCCTGTCTCTCTGCTCGCTCTCAGAGTTTAAGTGCTCTACTTATCTGCTATTCCCTAAATGTTATTCCAAATTTCAAACCTGCTTTGCTCCAGAGTTGCCTTTATTTAGAATAAATTATCTCTTTCCTCACATCTGGCTGTCTAATTCATTCTCATCCTTCCAGGCTGAGCACTAAAAAGTCACTTTCTGTAAAAACTTCTTCTAACTCCTTCAGGAAGTGTTATGTTTCAGTCCTCTACTCTGATCAGATTTTGACCTATCGCTAATAAATTATGCATACTGAAGTCATTTCTCTTTTGTAGGCTTTTTTAGAGTATGAGCTTTCTGAAGGCAGAGAAATTTATTTCTATGTCCCCAGTGTTTACTGAAGAATGTGATAGATAAATTAAGAATGTTCAGTAAATGCTAACTTGGGTTAAAAGGAAAGTGATGACAGACATAGAGGACAGACTGGTTGTTGCCAAGGGAGAGGTGGGGTAGGAGAAGGATGGATTGGGAGTTTGGGACTAGCAGATGCAAACTAGTATATATAGGATGGATAAACAGCAAGGTCCTACTGTATAGCACAGGGAACTATATTCAATATCCTGGGATAAAGCATAATGGAAAAGAATATGAAAGAGAATATATATATATATATGTATATATAACTGAATCACTTTGCTGTACAGCAGAAATTAACACAACATTGTAAATCAAATATACTTCAATTAAAAAAACAAAGTGATGAACCTAGGTCAAAAAGGATGATGCAGAGCAGTGGTGCTATTCATGCTTTTCTGAGCATAAATTATAGTAATCATACATGTAACTTTATGACCTAGTACACACACACACACACACACACACATGCACTTGTACATACACTTAAATGTATATAAATATTACTTACCCTCACTCTGTCCTATAAACTCTAATATTTCCTATTGTTTCTCTTATATTCTATTTTATCTTTTAAAATACTGATCCCTATTCACTAAATTGAATGATTAATTAAATGGCCCCAAAATGTCTCAGTGTTTGAAAACTACTAGTGTAGGGCACCAAAAACATATTTTACTGTTGCGTGATTTCCTAAGGCTGATCCTGGTGGTCTCTTAAATAAACCTGCAATGTCTAATATATTCAAAAGTTTCTTTATTGAAATTCCCTGGAATGATGGAGATTACATTTAAAAATTGTGGCTCAAAGTTGCTTCAAGTTTTATGAACTAACAGATCTTGTAAAAGAAAAGAATTAACTTGCCAGGCATATTATTTTATTTTATTTTATTTTTTTGCGGTACGCGGGCCTCTCACTGTTGTGGCCTCTCCCGCTGCGGAGCACAGGCTCCGGACGCGCAGGCTCAGCAGACATGGCTCATGGGCCTAGCTGCTCCGCAGCATGTGAGATCTTCGCGCACCGGGGCACGAACCCATGTCCCTTGCATTGCCAGGCGGACTCTCAACCACTGCGCCACCAGGGAAGCCCACCAGGCATGTTATTGAAAATTGAGTCATATCTTCAATCATTCATAAGAGCCTTTCACACTGTAAACAATTTTGGTGATAAACACAACATGATAGAGTTTAGATTTGCCTTAAGTACTGAAAATATATTGTCCTTAAGTTGTAGCTAATTCAAATAAACAATGATTAAATTACTTTCATTTTTCTCATTTTTCATCTCCTATCATCTCTTAAGGAATTGTTATCTTGAAATCTCATCATTAGGTTTTGAAAATAAAGCTTACTTTTTTATGTAAGGGCACAAAATATGTCTCTAAAAAAAGGTACTTTTTGTTATCTAATTTTACATCAGTTGAATTTATATTATATTAATAATGACTAATATTATTGAGCATTTACCACAAATTAACTCATTTAATATATAATAGAATATTTCAATAAAATATTTCAATAAAATTAATTAGTGTTGCTGTAATCTTTTTAAGTATAACTATTTTATCCTCAATTTTTCATGGATACTTGTTTTTACATGGTCAGCTTCTTTTCAAATCTAAATTATAAATAAAACAGATTTCCCAATTTAACCTATAAGTACATTTCTGAACATTCAAGCTTCTTTCTAAAATATATTTAATGACATTTAGAAGAAACTGCATATATTGGCCTTATTATCACTAAAATCCCTTTACTGTATGTGGAGATTCAACATTCTTAAATTTAGTCTATATTAATACAGCCTTAGGTTCCTCATTTGAGACACTAAAATAATTGATATAGACCTACTTTAAGAAGAGTGATATGCTTCCCTATTAGAGTAATCAATAATGCATCATTAATATAATGAATATCTAGCTTTCAGTAACAGTTCCAATTTTGTCAGATTTGCTTCTATATAATTTCAGAAATATAAATGAACATGTAATGATAAAAGTGACATCATGTAACCTGTACCTATTTTTCTCTTTCATTTGTAAGGCAGATGGACAGCCAAGAACTACAGCCAATTCTGGGGAATGACTTTGGAGGAGGGTTTCAAATATCGCCTTGGCACCCTGCCACCCAGCCCCTTGCTCCTGAGTATGAATGAAGTGGCAGTAGGTATCCTCTCTGTTTGACTCATGTATGTGTGTGTTTGTATAAGTGTGTTCATAGGTGCATATAGCGCAATTTTAAATAACTAAAATAGTGAGTTTAGTGCTTTCCGAGATAATTTTGTCATATAAATTAAAAAAACCTTTCCCCAAAATGGTTGTTACATACCCCCCAAATTTTCATGTGGACTTTGAAATTTCACTAATATTAATTAGATATAGTTTCCTCTCTTCAGGAATGATTGTGTTCATTTACATTGCTAATCATTGCAGAGAAATTCATGTTTCTGATGATTGGCTTGTCGGTGACCCAATGCTTAAGCAAGTCATTAGTTGTCCTTATTTTTCTTTTTCTAAGTAAACTTAGTTATTTTGTGAATTCATCAAAACAGAGTTTTGACAGCTCGTGGGTACTCCATTATGAAATGAAGATAAAATAAATGCCAGTAACTGCAGACATGTATGCTATGATGACTAGCAGAAGTTTATCCTCAAAAATCCTCACATTTTCCATTTAAAGAACACCTTCAAATTTCCCTGATGAGCTGGCAAACTCCTTCATGAAATTGCCATGTTTCGTAACACCCTCATGTTTCTAATACTATTGTATTGGTTTTCCCTTTCATTTTCAAGTGGTGTTATCTTCTGATAATATGTACCTTGCATAAAGAATCTTCCACCTGTCTAGTTATCACAGATGTCTAACTTAGAGCTGCAGTTTTAGCATCCCATTTGTGGTGTCTCTCGGTTGAGATTTTGATTGTATTCAAGGCCTGCTACAAATGCCCAAGGCATTTGTATCATTTTTTTTTTTAGATTCCACATATAAGTGTTATCATATGATATTTGTCTTTCTCTGTCTGACTTACTTCAAAAACAAACTTTTGGCTACCAAAGGGGAAGGGTGGGAGGGAGGAATAAATTAGGAGTTTGGGATTAACATATGCACACTACTATATACAAAATAGATTGTCAACAAAGACCTACTCTATAGCACAGGGAACTATACTCAGTATTCTGTAATAACCTATATGGGAAAGAATCTGAAAAAGAATGGGTATGTGTATATGGATAAATGAATCACTTTGCTGTATACCTGAAACTAACACAGCACTGTAAATTAACTATACTCCAATATAAACTAAAAATTAAATTTAAAAAAATGTCCAGGGCAGAGAGGGGTTCCCTGGCTGCTGGAGAACTGGCTCTTCCCTCTGCAATGAAGGTGTCAGGTCCTGGCTGCCCGGAAGCTCTCAGCATCTCAGAGCAAGCAGGGCTGTTATTTATGCTGTTGGATGAGTTGTAAATCCACAGGTTCCTCATTAAATGTTCAATGCGCTTTGCTTTCAAAAGATGTAATCCCCTGACTTATTATTCCAGTTCAAATTCCAGTAGCAGGACCTGCTAAATTATGACTAGTATCAGAAAAGATCATAACAGCTGCCATGTATTGAGTAGTTGTGCGCCAATCACTCTTATCAGCACTTTCATACATTATCTCATCTAATTCCCAGCTTGATGTAGTGGGTACTGTAATTCTCCACATTTTAAAGACAAGAACATTGACACAGAGAGAGGCCAAGTCACACGGAGATGGAGAGGAGAGAAAAACCACCATAGAATTACTTAAATGGGAGAGTCAGGACGTTAAAAGATCTGCCCCCAAATGGTTCCTAGACTTCTGGTATAATCAGTTAGCTTTGGCCAGTTCAGTTTCAAAATAGCAAAAAGTCTTTTAATCTTGGAGCCAGAACTAACTTTATGAAATGATCAGCTTAGATATATTTTTGGATTTTTTCCACAATCATTGAGACATAACATCTTTAGAGGTGTGGCTCATATTCATAGCTTTTATTGACTTACTTATAAGATCAATTGGAAAAGAGTTACTTTTTCTGGCTGTTTACTTTTTCAATTTTGTCCTTATCTATCTGGAAAAAAAGAGACAGAAGTGTTTAGGAAAATAATAAGTTCACCCTCTTTATAAGGATTACTCTTTCTCTTGCTTTTAGTGAGGGTCCCAGTTAGCCAAATACACATTTGGGTGTCAATACACATTTTTTCTTGATTCTTTCTAACATTTCCTTTTGAAGCTTTATTTTTTTGCAATTTAGAGTATTTTATATTATAGAGAAAATGAGGTATGTTTCTTTCCCAGGTTGCCACTCACTGTAGCATAGAAAAAGGCAATCTAATTCTAAATCATTTATTGGCTCCTAGGGATTTGTTTGCATAAAAGTGACTATGGTGATATTTAAATGAAAAATCTTAATGACTAGTACTCTGGGAGAATTTAAATTACCTAGTGCTATGAATTAATGTAATAAAGTAGCTAAGTAATTCCAGGAAAGCAATAAGGAAAATTTGGCTGATCTGTAAGACTTCTGCTACACACAAGGACATAGATTCCCATTTCTAAGGCATAGTAGCTTGAGGGCTGAGGTCCTTTCAAAAAGTTTCTGAGTGTTTCCCTGGTGGCGCAGTGGTTGAGAGTCCGCCTGCCGATGCAGGGGACGCGGGTTCGTGCCCCAGTCCGGGAAGATCCCACATGCCGCGAAGCGGCTGGGGCCGTGAGCCATGGCTGCTAAGCCTGCACGTCCGGAGCCTGTGCTCCGCAGCGGGAGAGGCCACAACAGTGAGAGGCCCGCGTACGGCAAAAAAAAAAAAGTTTCTGAGTGTTGGAGTTGTCCTAATACCTGGTCAGAAGATATCAGAAAATCAGAAATACAACAAGAACTTCAATGAAGAATGTGGGGTCTATATGAACTAAGTTAAACTGGTAGCCACAGGAAGAGCTTAAAAAATAGATTAATTCTTTGCCTGGTGACTACATAAAAAATACCCTCAATACATCAAATTGCCTCTGAAGAGTGAAAATGAATTCTTTTGTGTGGGTATGCTTCTGGATAACTCCCTCCCCCCAACTTTTCCCCAATTTTTTAAAATACCATTTTCAACATAGGATGGTATATATATATATACACTTAGGGTAGGCAGTTGCCAACAGTGGGAATGATTTTTCTGAGAAAATTCACTGCATCCCCAGCCTAAAACATCTCCCTTTCCTTGAGCCCATTACCTGGATGAGAACAGAGATTCACCAAATTCTTTATCTGGGTAGGAAAGATGAGCCATAAGTCATTCCCAGTTCCTGGGAAAGCTCTCCTTTAGCTGGTTCCCTGGCTACCTTGCTTGACTTCAGTCACTAGTCCCATAATGTGTCTGCTGAACGTACATTAGAAGAATATCAACAGGTCTTATACAAAGAGTTCCATGATTATATAAATATGAAAAAATCTGTTTAATCTGGATGAATTAGTTAAATTCAAATGATTTTTTGTGGAGTGTGATTCATAATAATGAGGAATAGAAATATGTTGATCATGGGAGGTTAGAAAAAACTAACCTAAGGATTTTGGGAGCCTTTCCTGGATGGCAGTCCTATGTGAGGGAAGACAAAAGGAAACAAAAACTTACTGTTTTCTCTGGGTACAAGCAGACTGGATGAGAGGAAGTGAGAAAAAGGGAAAGAAAGAAGGCCAAGAGGCTCCTGCCTAGACCATGCAGCTTATTGTTTTGTATGAAGATTCGCTTCACCCACTTTAAAATTATGTCTAGTGTCAGGTCAAAAATGCCAGCTGATCAATCTTTGCCTAACTTTTTCCTAAAAGCGTTTTCTTGAGATTGTTCAAAGCAATGCCTTGATTGGACAGCTCTGTTCCAAATTGTTGTACACTAAATATGTTAAGAATGATTAGACGATTCTCTGTCAGTCCATTGAGACTGTGTATTTGCTTGCATAGATTCACAACGGGACTGATGTAGCTCCCTACAGGAACTTTAAATTCTGCCACTTGAGCCTTTTGTCTCCTTATGGTACAAAACAGGTGATTACACGGTTAAAATCTTATTTCAATATTTCTCAACATTTGTGCCATGGGCCACCAATCCTGCAAGATTTGGAATAAAGGTGTCCTATCTGTGGTCAAATACACTTGTGAAGTGGTGTATTGTATCTTTCTTCCGAAGAGGCACACTATTCATTAGTATATTGAGGACACTAAGAACTCTTCCTCCAATGACCTTTTTTCCACCCATTGTTTCCTAAACTCATGACATCAGAGAACCTTTTCTTCTTTGTTTGTTTATAATGACTGTTAATACTTCCCAAGATTTAGATTCCACAGAACACACTTTAGGAGCTGCTAACATAAGGTAAAATATTGAAAGAAAAGTGCTGGAGAGAGCAGAAGTATATTCAGGGCTAAAACAGAACTTAATGTCTCAGAAAGAAAACAATTATTATGACTGTATGCAAAATTGGCATGGGCTGAGGTCCTTTGGAGCCAGCAGAAGCATCACAGTTGAAGTCTGTTAATAGGCACATGTAGGCAGTGCCTTTAGTCACATGGCCCCATTTCACATACCGAGATGGACATGAGCTCTGCATCCTGTGTGCTTGGCTCTTAGTCTGGCTGAAATGATGGTAGCAGTGGTACCCAGTTCACAGGGCTGTAAGAAGTCCATGAAATGATGAATAAGGAGTGTTTTAGCACACAGACTGTATAGTAGAGCATTAATGAAATGTTATTATATAATATACAAAGTGGTTCTTTCTCCCTTGGATTAAGCTTGGGAAACTAGCAAGTTTCTGAAACAGGTAAATTTTGTAAGAGCTAAATTACCCAGAACTTAATCATTTGGAGGATTTTCTTTCATAAAGAAAGGTGTAGCTCTGGGTTTATTGGCCTTGACAGAGATTATATATTTTTGATAACCTGAAAGTTCTTCTACTATGCTCCTAAATCAAATCAAATCAAATCATGTCAAATCAAATCTAATCAAAGCAACCGTTCTGTACCTGATTATTTTTCCAGGAATTTAAATTTGGGAGATAACTTCAAGAGGCTTCCCTGTGTTATATTATATTATAAATATTGCAAACGTTTTGAATAAAACATACTATTTTCAAACAGAGATAGGGAAATTCAGAGTTCATTTTT